TTGATTTTCCAAAATAGATGCTAAAAATACTGTCCCAGGCATACATCAAAATATCTTCAACATACCTTATACCTACTCAATTTTAGTTCTGAAATACATTTTATGTCCTCAGAATATGCATAAACAACTTGTTGAATTTCTTTCTGCATAAAGGGCAAGAAAGGCTAAAGATTTAAATTTTGCTGGTGCTATGATAGAAGAGGTGGAACCTCCCAGACAATATCCTGTTATGTGTTGGTGACATGTGAGAAATGGCAGCAAAGGGACATTCTGACAAAATGGCAGCTGACACAGAAGTGCAAATGAAGCAAAAGTGTCTCACTGAATTCCTCCATGTAGAAAAAATTGGATCCATTGACATTCACTGATACTTGCTGAAGGTTTATGGTGTTCGAACAGAATCACAGAATCACAGGGTTGGAATGGACCTCAAGGATCATCAATCTCCAACCCCACTGCCACATGCAGGGCCACCAACCTCCACATTTAATACTAAACCAGGCTGCTCAGGGCCCATCCAATATGCCTTGAACACCTCCAAGGATGGGGCATCCACAATCTCTCTGAGCAGCCTGTTCCAGAACTTCACCACTCTCTCTGTAAAGAATTTCCCCCTAACATCCAACCTAAATCTCCCCTCTCAACTTAACACTATTTCCCCTTGTCCTGCAGTTATCAACCTTTTCAAAGAGTTGATTCCCCTCTTCTCTGTAGGCTTTCTTTAGGTATTGAAATGATGCAATGAGGTCACCCCGCAGACTTCTTTTCTCCAGGCTGAACAAGCCCAACTCCCTCAGCCTGTTCTCAAAGGAGAGGTGCTCCAGTCCCCTGATCATCTTTGTGGCTCTCCTCTGGACACTCTCCAACAGCTCCCTGTCTTTTTTGTACTGGAGGCTCCAGACCTGGACACAGTACTGCAGATGGGGCCGCACAAGAGCAGAGTAGAGGGGGACAATCACCTCCCTGTCCCTGCTGGCCACCCCTTTGCTGATGGAGCTCAGGATTCTATTTGCTTTCTGAGCCGCAGGAGCACACTGCCGGCTCATAGTAAGTTTTGCATCCATCAGGACCCCCAAGTCCTTCTCTGCAGGGCTGCTCTCAAGGACCACTCCTTCCAGTCTGTATGGATGCCTAGGATTCCTACAGCCCAAGTACAAAACTCTGCACTTTGCCATGTTGAATCTCATCAGGTTCACCTGGGCCTCTCAAGGTCGCTCTGAATGTCATCCCTTCCTTCTACCTGGCCACTCAGCCTGGTGTTGTCAGCAAATGTGCTGAGGGTGCACCGATACATCATTGTCATTGATAAACATGTTAAAGAGCACTAGTCCCAAGACAGACCCCTGGGAGACACCGCTCGTTACTGGCCTCCACCTGGACATAGAGCCATTGACGACCACCCTCTGTCTGCGGCCTTTCAACCACTTATCCATTATCCATTGAGTGGTCACCCATCAAATCCACATCACTCCAATTTGGAGATAAGGATGTGATGGGGGACCACACATATGAAGTGTGGAAACAGTGATATCCACTATGAAACAATGGATATGAACATAACGAAGTGGTGGGTAGTGAGTTTCAGCAGTGGCGAGAGCTATGTGAGAGACAAGCCACATTCCAGGCAGCCATTCACAGCTGTAACACCAACAAATGAAGAGCATTTGATCAGCTCATCTTTGGGAATCAGTGAATTGTGACCAGCGAACTGTGTATGGAGATGAATGTTGGCTTCAATGTATTGGAAACAATGGAACATTGTTTTGCATTACTTTCAGAGCAACCTACATATTGTACATGCAGTTGAAATTACATTGAAAATGTTTTACATCAATATATACTGAAGACTTTCAAGCTAAATCTTTTAATAGCACTTATTGGGCCTATATGTCTGTTAAAAGGGCCAAATATAATGGAAGTAAGCATGATGATTTTATTCTTGTATTCTCCTCTTTAAACCTCTTTTGGATAGTACAGTATAAAAAGCACCATCCATTCAAATGGAGCAAAGTTACTACTTTATAAAACTCAATATACAATTATCTTGCTATTTGTCACGCAAAGGTGTTGTGATTACATAAAGAAATTGTTTGGTAATATCCTTAAACAGTTATTCATCCAGTTTTCTTGTAAGACACTTACAATTATTTAAATAATTACAAATTGAAGTTACTGGTATTATGTCTTCATTAAAAAGAATGCTTCTGAGTCATAAGCAAGAGAACATTTATGCTTTTGCATTGATCTAAATTAAATCAGTAATCTTTCCACAAATTTCAAGGACAAAAATAACGTGACACACGCTTTAAAATAAGCTTGGGCATCACAACTGAGTCTGTATATTCTGTGATACATGAGTCACCCTCACAGGAGTTTCTGAGGCAAAATATTTTTGGGCACCGGAAGGAAGCAGAAATGATATTTCTTCTTTAAGTGGGCACAGACTGTGCACTACAGTTGCACGGTTTCAGAACTGCGAGTACTGCAGCTTTCTAGAATTGAGCCAACAACAGAAACAGATCTCTAACACTGAAGGCTACAAGAAGCAAATGGCATTACCTATGAGGACATACCTACTAGTATATACAGTATTATTCATGTTTTTTTTTTTTTAATATATATATATATACAAGACTGATATGGATTCCAACTGTATTTTAATGAACCACCCCTTGCTGTATAATATTCTGCCCCAGCTGAGCACCTAGAAATCTCAAGGCTATTGAAATCTTGGCAGAACCACTCATAGGTGTACTGGAATCTGGCAAATGTATTTCCCCAAGCGCAGGCCTTTTGAATGCCAGATGCTAGAAGAAAAAAAAAAAAAATCTAAGCAAACACATTTCAGTTTTATGATGCAAGAAACTGAATCCCCAGATCCCCGTGCAGTGAAGGTTGCTACCGTTACTAGAGATCTAGCAAACAGCATTTGAAGAAAAAGGTGGGGGTGCAACTAGAAAATGTGCAAAAAGTATTTTCATACACAGAAAACTTGCTCAGACCCTTTCTATGTTACCAAATGGGAACCACATCTTGTACCATCCTTAACATTCTTTGTCAGGAGAGACAAAAAACTATCCATGTGTTCTCTTGAAACCTACCCCTTCCTTCTGCTTACGGGCATTACACTGTGTATCAGTAAAAACAGCTCTTGCCATCCGCACTCAAAGGGGAAGAAAATTCAAACAAACCTGAAAAAGCAAGTAAGGAAAGGTCTGAATTTTCAATTTGATTTAACAACTTTTTATCAAGATACTGTTCTTCACCTATGGCAGTCAACTGTTCTTGGAAACCCTAAGCCACAGCCCAGCTGTGATATGCCCAGAATATGACTTGTGGAACTGATTTTTTTGATACTGATCAGAATTTGGCAGAGATTACTTTTAACATTATGTCTTTCCATTGTTTTTAAGGTTTGAAATGGTCATCCAGCTCGTATGCCTATGAAGCATTCATTTTTTCTTTTTGTGACAGTGTTTCACAGGCATTCTGTTAGAACTGGAAAATTTTCAAATTGTCATTTAATTCAGAAGTATTATCATTCTTTCCAGAAAGTGAATACATTGCTGTGTAATAATCCATACCGCTTTTTGTTGTAATTTCTGACTCGTATGCAATAGTTGAAATTGGGCAGGATTGAATACCCAGTTTGTTAATAGATCACTCAACATACTATCTCTATGATCTTAACAATTGCATTCAGGAATCTACATATTATCCCTAACTGGCAATCTATGTGCTTTTCACTGATTTTGTAGAGACTAAAATGCCAATTATTTATTTATTTTACTAGATAATGTATGAGCAATCAGTTATCCTCTGACCTCGGATCCCTCAGGCCCTTCCCATCTGTCAGATTTCTCTGTAACTACACATGTTCCTTCACTACATCGGTCTAATGCACCAGACATGAACATATCCTTTACAAACACAATGCTGAAATAAAAACGAGAAAGGTGCTCCATCCAAAAACGCTGACCCCAGTTTTCCATCTTCGACAATCCTTTAGAGCTTCATATGGTCATATATATGTGTGAGAGCATCATCGTATGTTCTTTCTTCGGTATAAATGAAAGCTTAAATTCTACTCATTAAGGCAAAAATATCTTTACAGTGAGACAGGACCTCACAGTATGTCCTGTGTCTGAGTGGTATACACATCATAAACATGATTTGTCAGAATTGTTCTTTTTTTTCCATTCCTTAATTCACTGAATAGGTTAATTTTAATGAAATACCGAGTAATTGGACCACTTTAAAAGGCTGAACGGGGAGTTTCCAGGAAATGTTTTTTTGGTGCATTTGCACAGGATTATCTGAAGCATAAATACAGTCCCTGGATGGTTAGTTCACATTGCAATGAATTTAATTCAGGCGGTCAGGTTCACAGATGAGATTCATATTTTGCACATATAGGGCCATTGAGGTCAACAAAGCAAAGGCAGTTTATACCTGTTAAGGATATAGCAACACGAACTGTCACAGCCAAGCTGGCTTCTGCAGTTTCATGGGTTAAGGTCATTTTTATTATGATATTAAGTCTTTCCACAACAAGGGTGCATAACATAGCAAAAAATTACCCTGTAGACTTTTTTTTATTTCTAATTCGGTGAGAAGACATGAAAAAGTTGACTAGTTGACTTCTTTTATCCCATTTTCAAAGCAACCTCTTAATACTTAAAGTCTGTTCTGGTATTTCAGAAATTAGAAGTGAATGTCCGGGGAAGTTAATCTTTGTAAAAGAAAACAGTCTAGAAAAATATATATGCAGTTGTAAACCTATTTGCATGAGAAGTTCTAGGAAGAGTGATGACAGATTCAATGCGAATGATCACAGCGAGTGTTTGTTCTTTTAGGACAACTTTTGTATCTTTCTCAAATTTCATTTCCATTCTAAGACTCAAGTATTTAAAAAAAAAAAAGAATTACAAATAGATTTCGAAAATGTTGTAGTTTTAAATTGGGTACCTTGTGTGACTCGAGGATGATCTGTAAATCAGATGCAGCAGTACTGCAATGGGTGGAAAGTACCAGAAAAGGAGACTTGACATGGCAGTGTTTTAAGAAATAATAGATCTTCTTTCAGAGACAGCATTCCACTTAATAGACACACCTTTTAAGTTTACCAATAGGAAACTTATGTACCTGTACAAGACATATGCACAGGTACCTGTTTTTCAATATGTCATTTCCACTGTAGACTGGTACATACCTACTCTGTTTTCATTCATTGCTGCAGGATGCAACTACATTTCCCCTGATAGAGTTGGATAATAAAACAGTTGGTGGTAATTATCTTAATGATTTCAGCATGAAGATTAGTAACCCTTGTAATTTTTATTCTTTCTAGTATAAATTAGTTTACAAGCACTCAAAATACCTGTTAAGCTGTCAAGGCTGTATACAGATTTTCAGTATTCAAATTAACCTTTGACTTTTGAACAAGAAAGCTTATATATAAAAATTGCAGCTTCTTTACTTTTTGAATAAGAGGCAATTGTAATTGTAAATTGTTGGGAACAGACAAGATCAAATACACTTCTTTCAGAATGGCAAAAGGAATGAAAAAAAAACAAAAAACCAACCAAACAAACAAGCAAAAAAAAAACAACCATACACTTCAGAGCAAAAAATCAGACACAAATGACCTGGGAAGAAAGTCAGTTTCATTTGTTTTTTAAGTAATTTTAACCTTGTTATTATTATAAGTACTGTAGAATTACATTTTATTTATTTTACATATACTAAACATAATACAACAATGATTAATGTAAAGTGTATTTCTTAATGAGTCAGTGAAGATCCTTGATTTAACACCATTCAAAGGCACCCACTTAACTTGAAATTCATATTGTAGTCCCTGCATTCTATGAACCAGATAAATTTTGCTCAAGTGAGAGGTTAAGTCACCCTATAACCACAAACACATTCTGTAGTGACACTAAGTCACTTCCATAGTCCTAGCCTGTTTATAAAAAAATCCAGTAAGGAATGACTTTTGCACGTATGAGCATCAAAATACAATATATGCACATTTACACAGAAAATATTGTAAAGCAATGAAACACTATTCAAAAAGGCTGGTAGACATAACCTGTTTCGTTAGTTCAAGTGTCTATTTCTATTGTGTGCATTCCAACTAAACAGGAAATAAATAGCACAGGTCTATACCTACTAGCTTTTTCAAATAAAAAAAAATAGTTCTAACCCATGACTTTCCAGCACAAGTCAAGACACAGAGCATACCTCAATGAATAAGAAGTCTTTAAATGGAGAGAAAAGTTTGGGTTAACATTTAGATTTCCAGCTATGACCAGATGTAAAACTTGCAGCAGCCTATCTATCTTACAAGTTTGCTTTGCCCATCTTTGCGTCCAATTGACATACTTGATTTGTCAGTAACTAAGTAACAGCTTGAAAGACATTCTTCTTTTCTTGTCAACATGAATCATTCTTGTAATATCTCCAAGATGAGATTATCAATGCATAAACACAATACATATGTCCATTTTTGTTTTCCGTTATATCAACATTCATTTAAGGTCTGCGAATAATCACATACATTTATCAGCAAAATACTTTTCAGCAACATTGTTTTAGTTCTTTTCATCTTCACCTAGTTTTCACTACTTTTGATTTGCCTATAATGTATGATTTATTCACTATTCATGACATAAAAACAAAATGGGGGAAACTCTCTTATTATTTCTTTCTACATTCTCAGTCACTCTGTGCAGTTTTGACAACCATCTGCTGAGATTAGACTTCACTTCTTCCTCCTGTTCATCCCCGTCACATTCAAATATTGACAGACATGGTTTCTTCTGGGAAAATAAGAAGTTAATAGATAAGTGGAAGCTGTGTTCAGTTTATCATTAAACTTCTGATGTACTCTTACAACCTGTGTTGTATTTATTTACCTGAACATTTGAAACTGTGAAGAATTAAAAGATAAAGTTCCAGCCCAAACACTGGATTTCACAGTGGGGTTCAGGCTATATCTAATATTCACACATTGATGTAGAGATTTTGGAAATAGCAAGTAGCTTACCAGAAGAAAATCTCTAGGTGAAAGACATGGCAGGGCAAGTCCAGTGTCTTCAACAGTAATCAAAGGGATCAAATGACAGCATTGCTCACATCCAGATTTACAGTAATGGGCAGGCAAGGCAGACAGGCCATAAATAACTTCAGTATTTCTGAAACAAAGGCTGTGGGCAGAGAGGTAAGCCAGTGACTTTTCCTTGGGACTTACCTGAGGTTTAATGTCATGAAAGGACATGAAAACCATTTGACATGGCACGAAAAATGAGTGCAACCCATGCTCTGTTGACTATTTTCTTCAACATGAGACCAGGTGCCTTTCCCAGTGGTGTGTTTCCAGGACATCATCTCATATTTGCCCTACATTCATTCAACCTTGTAATCTTGCATTTGGCCATATTAAAACCTGAGCTTTTTCTTTTTTTTTTTCCCCCCCAAAAGAAGTACCAAAGAAACCAAATGAAACCTATATATACATATATATATATATGAGCTAGCTTCATAATTATTTACTGTTCAATCAGCTGTGCTGCCATTTGTACATTTTCTCAGTAATAAGTCCATATATTTTCTTCCAGATTTTTGCTGATGTGTCTAATAGCACTAAAAAAGGTCAGTAAGAAATCCCATTAGAAACATCCACAGAGGATAATGATATAATATTATCTAATGTACTCTTTGCCACCTACTACTTAAGAAACGTGACTCAGAACTTTAGTCTTTTAAGGTTGTTTCTATTAACCCTGTCTCTAGCTTCTAAGAGGTGTTGAATTTAAGAGAAAATGCTCAGATATAACAATCTATTTAATAAATAGAGTAATTATGATGGCTAATAGAAAACCTAAGAGATTTTGCAAATTACTTTTATACTTAAAGACTGAAGTTTATCAGAGGAACCCACTGGAAAAAAAAAAAAAAAAAGATTACATTGATTACCTCAAATCAGATAGAGGCGATGTTAACAACATTAACTTGAATCATAGCTTCATACTGGTTTCAGAGAATCGCAGATAGAATTAAATAAGCTTCTCTTGTAGTTTTGCTCCTGAGAAAAGGAGACAGAAAAATAAAAACAGTTCCAAAAAGCAAAGACAAATTGGTTGCTGCTACTCTATGAGATTTGATCAGAAAGCCTCTATCGATCGTCTATGCATTTCTTATATTTAGTACTTATTATTTCTTCTATTATAGTACTTTGTCCTTCGTATTGAAGAAGGTACCACTGAATAATAGGCATAAATAATGGAGGTGGACAGATTTTTAATACCTACTGAATGCTTCATTTTTACTGGATTTCCACAGTAGAAGAGTAAAAAAATATGAGTGCTTTTAATCGACTAAATAAAATCTTAATTTCTGAATTTTTGAATAGTGCTATTTCATATTATTTTTAACTGGAATATCAGATACAAAGACCTTTCAGAAATGCTGCATTAATAAGTTCACGGTATAAATAATATCAAGGCTAAATATTGCTATTTGATCACTTCTTCAAACATCAATATACATATTCTACTACCAGTCTAAGAAAAAGAACAATGATATAAAGTTTAGAAAAAAAAAAAAAAAAAAAAAAGAAAACCTTTCAAATTTTCCCATGCAACATAAGTCTTCAGGTAAATATTAATAATTCTTAAGGTTTTTTTCTGAAGACTAATTCAATTTCTGAAATATCAGTGGTTAAGAGCATAGATAAAAGTATATAATAAAATGCTTAATCACGGTTTTGAGTACAAAGCTCAAGACAACTTTCATTGTGGAAATGTTCTTGCCTTTCCATTAAGTTTTCCCTATTCTAAGCAGAAAGGAATAGGAAGGAGGAATTATTATTACTGATTTAATTAAGCTACTAAGATTAGTGGTCCAGTCCAATGGGAAATGACAACTTTGAGACTGCGAATTGGATGTAATCATCTCACCTCGTTATTACCTTTGTCATGAAAATAAATCAATTTTGTCTATTTTCTATTTTCATTACCATATTTGTCAGAAGAGGGAACTATCAAAATTCTAATAATACCTGATGTACTTTGGTAATTGTGGTACTATGCTCATACTTTGACATTTTCAATCCTGCATATGATTTGCTGGCCATTCCACTCCTCCTTGTCAGGTTAATAAAGGTTATAATCATGGAATCAGCTAGTTGATCTTCAACAAAATGTAATTACCCCATTTCATCCCTTTTCCAGTTTTCAACTATAGTTTGAAATGGGGGAACCAAACAAAAAATTGATCTGATCTGTACTGACTTAAGCGCACTACTACGTATCATACTTTCTTCTTGTGCACTGAAGTGCATATAATGAATGTGAAATTATATCTCTGAATATCAAGTTAACATTCAAAGCCAAAAGATTAAGCCTTTTTTTTTCTTCTTTTTTTTCCTGGAAGCAGACAGAATGAATGTGCTAACGAAATCTAACTACAATTACATGTGATACAATCAAATATATTTTTGTGTTTACACATATTAATATTGTTTCAGTTGATTAAAGAGAATATCTTGCATTGCAAAATTCTAACAAAAGCAAAACATAAAATTAGAGTTCAAAATGGAAAGTTATATGCCACTGTAACACTGTGCTCCAATGTTCTCTCCCTAAGCAAAGTAACAAAACAGTAACATCAATTTTTAAATAAACATCCCAAAAGTCTCACAGCATAAAGCAAAGCAAAGAATTCCAGCAATTTATGTACATTTGGAAGAAACAACTTGTGTCCACTGTCAAGAGAACTCTGCTTCCTTTAGCCTTACCCGGACATGTCTGTAGTGCTGGATTGCTTAGACAACTGACATATCTGCTATGTTTCTTTTGGATGATTGCAATTACACTGATTCAGACGTTTTTACTTCTGTATTCTATTCATATAATTCATAGGCAAATCTGAAAGCCAAAATGGCTTAAAGGCATCTGTAGTGCCTATGGTGCCTTTGTCACTGCCTCCTTCTTCCAGGGCTGTGGATTTAGGATGAACACGAAGTTGATGCTGAAAACCGTCAACTGGCATCCAGTCACGTTTCCATACCAGCTGAAAGCCTTGGTTCAAGTTTTCAAAGCAGTTAAGAGATCAAGCTCCAGCTACATCAGAGAATGCATTTTGATCTATAAATCACAGAAACACTGATATTTTTCAGGGAACACTAAAAGTGAAGATCACAAAAGCCAGAACAAAGCACGCAAGAGCCACGGAGAATGCAGTTTCTTTCTAAAGAGAAACAGCTCTGAAGGAATCTTCTGTCTTTCAGGGGACACCAGATAGAGCAGGTCTGATTGCCTTTTAAAATGGGGCATCATATGGCCCCATTTTTAAGTGAGGATGTATTTTTGATCTCTAGCTCAATAATCCTCCCAGAAGACCTCACCAACTGCACTCAAACTAAATGAAAATCCCCAGTTATACTGAAGTTTAGGTGTCAGAAAGTCAAAAACACATCAAAGTTTTCATAAATTCTATGAGTTATTATAATGTTATGGATGTATATGAGGCCAGGTGCTCCTTATCTACCCCTGTCTTCTCAATTAACACCAGTGAGAAAAAAATTTTTCCTGGAGCTTTAGAACAAAATGGACAGTCTTCGAGATCAGAAAATAAGAGACTAGGTAAAAATAATTCTCTCAAATGGAAGAAATGGACAACATTCATTAACTGCAGGAAGACTCAGACAACTGGATCTGGATGCTATTTGCAAAAACTACTAAACCACTGGGCACTTAAACTGAAGAATTGCTACAGAATTTGAGATTTTGCAAGCAACTTTCGTAAGCGGTCCATCAGAATTGACTAAGAATTAGAGCAGATTCTTACCATTGCACTTATTTGATTAGTTTAACCAACATAAAGGCATTACCCTTTGCAGTTTCTCAATGATATTCGTATACTCTTGCTTTCTGTTTAAGGATTAAATTCCCTCCATATCCCAAAATTGATGTGGATTCTCATTATCTAGAACTTTCCAACACACATTCTCAAATTATAAAATCTACATCTTTGAGGAAATGCCTGTAGTGAAAGAGCAAATTATGGTGGAAAAAGTAAGGGCTAGACGTACAGTACTAGATAAAATGGATGTTTTAGTGGCTGCAAGTAATCAAATTCAATTTCTATGGAAAGGGCTCTAAGTGGCTAGAAAATCTGATAGTAGAAAGAAAAAATACGTCAAATTATTTTTAGTAGATATATTAATCACTTAGAGATTTTAAATCAAATTTAAAAGTCTCTAGAGAAAAAAAAATAGTTTCACTGAAATTTAAAGCAATATTGCCAGTGACCTTAATAAAGTCAGTGGGTGTCTAACATGATTCTGTATTGTTGGGCTTATTGTTTTGTCTAGACAAAAGGCAAGATCATATCTGTAAGTCACATAGCAGTTTTGTATCTGTTAGGGAACAATAGTACCAAGTAAAAGTATTAGAGCTAGATTGCAGCAAAGAATTGGTTTCTTCTGAGGACATATGAACTATGCAAGAAAGATATGCATCTCTCACCTTGTAGAAGAGGTTTCCTGTGACTCCGTTAACAGAAATAATTCTCATAAGAAATGCTTTAGTTAATTCTAACACACACCTACATTTCATTTTAAGCAATTGGGAAATTCAGAATTTGTAAGCTAGATAGCGCTGCTTTCTGTAAGCATTCTAAACAACCAGAAATTCATTAGTAACTTCCTTTCTCTCTGGGGCCCAAAAGCTCTGAGGCAGATACTAAATGCTCCCATTTTTAAGCATTCAAAACATAGTCACAATGCGTTCCATATTTACTAATTCTCTTAAGTTTGATGGTCACTGGAAAGCAGATGTTAGGGCTTGCATGTAATGTAAACATCTGTGTCAGCTATGAATAACTAGAGCTATAACAATAATAACAGTAATAGGAAATGATCATACAGGAACGAATAATAATAATTAAAAATAATAATAATAGCAACCTTCAAAGAATGTAGGAAAAATTAACCTGCTCGACATAACATATTTTTGCAGAGGTGATCTGAATGCTAATTCTTTCCAGGAGATCTGAGGAAGCCTCAGGCTATATTTCCAGACGGTATATTCCAAAAGAAAAATTGCAGTTACATAAATATGTGTAGATTATTAGTGGTTGCCAAATACATGCATTTGATATTTTTATGATCCAACTGTTCTCCATTAAGCCAGCAGACAGTGATATTTTTGTTCTGCAGAGAAAACCGTAACAGACCAAATAAAATGCTTTATACAGTAAAGCTGTTCTGCCCTTAAGGTACAGAGATTTTCCATATTGTTTTCATTTGAAAGTTTATTCGGATTATGAACCGCCTGCTGACATTGATACCTCTAGTCTCCCTCTCCCTTTCCCAGTCTTAAATCAAATAGTTGGGTCAGCACTAGTACTTTTACTTTGATTATGTGAAGTCCCTGTGGAAAGGTACAGCACAGTCTAAAACATTTCTGTTTTATGGTCTGCTGTGAGCTTACATATTTGAATGCTTAATTTACAGACGTGCTCAGGGAAGTGTTGATGCAAAGAAACCAGCTATTCATACATAAACCAGATCAAAGTAGTACTTCTCCGAAACATGTACCCTATAGTGCCAGCTAAATAATTTATACAAAATCATCCCCAAAACATCTGTAAGTAATTTGAATTAAAATTTAAAACTCATGGCTGACTTCGGCATTGCTTAGCCTTTCTGCATCTTGTGCAGTTTGATTTTTGTGTCCAAAGGACTCCACGCCCTACTGAGAATACCTGAACTCACATGCTTGGAGCCCTGTGAAAGGAAGCCAGCAAGCACACCCTGATACATAGGCAAGATGGAAAGAAGTCCTGGCTGTGCTTTTAGCTGACCAGAAGCTACATATAGCACCAAACTGAAGCCTATGTGCCTTGCCTCTTAGCTGCTTTACTGGATTGCTTTGAGGAAGAACAAACAGTGGGGATGAAATATTTTAAGTAAACACTGCTGCCAGACACTTCTTAATGCCGAAAGATGTTCTGAGTTATGGTTTTGATGAAGTTAATATTCATATAGTGTTAAAAGATGTGCTCAGCACTTTAGGATTGCTCAGCATGCCAGATTAAGAAATTACCAGCAAAAATGAACAGATTTTAGTGAGGCTGCTGTTATCAAGCCAACAGTAATCCCAGTAATGACTAGGGGAGTAAAAGACATATTCACTGGGAGTCAGGACCGTAAGTTACTGCAGGACAGAGGACAGTCCACCAAGCACTAAAAATGGCCACGAGGAAAATCACAGCAAATTCTGAGGAATTTATGAACAAGTTCTGCAATGTCAAGATGTTTTTCAACAAGCTCTTTGATGGACAGATAAAATAGCTGAAATTTGCTGTGGTTTTAAAAGTTCTAATAACTGCAATATGGATGGATTCTCACATTTGCTGTTAAGTAGATTTCAGTTACATGGCTTTTCTGAAAATAAGGAAGAGGAAAATAAAAGCAGAGTTAGAGCTGATGTATCAGTTATGGACCAGAGTATACCTTAAGCTAATATCGATTTAAATGATTAATTTTTCAGATAGTCTATTTTACTTTCTTTTTACAAACAGAATGACTCCATATTATTCTGGATATATGACTTTAACACATACTTTTAACTCTCCATATTTCAATTTCTGATTGAAGCCGAAAATTAGAAATACAAGACACTAAAAAAAAAAAAAAAAAAAAAAAAAAAGAGTAGTAACTATCTTGAATGCTCTTTTCCTCATGAACTCTCACTGACTTCAGTGAAATTATTATTACTATTGATTACTAGAAATTGCTATTGCCATCTTCTGGTGCAATTGAAAATTGGAAGTTGTTCTCATTAAAACATCTGTTGAGTTTGCTGATGCTATCTAACAACGAGTATGGCACTGTCTCTTTGGCATCGTGCATGAAGTGTATAACTGCGATGCTTTTCCTATGTAGGTTGCTCTGAAAGTAATGCCTCTTATTTATTTATTACCATTGAAATTACAACAGATACAAAGAGCAAAACGCACTATTTGATAGAGCAATTTCTCAGCTAAAAAAACCTCTATTTTCCACCACAGTCATCACCATTAGCTATGCATTTTCACCAGCTGAGAACCAGAGTCTGCATGCCGCAATTGTAAAAATCTGCAGCAGCAGAGGTGACCTTTTCATAATGTTTCACCATCTACCACCTCACTGTGCTCACATCCACTATTTGGTCTCCAGAAAATTCAGCAAGCATCAATGAATATCAATAAGTGCCTTTATTTCCATGTAGAGGAATTCCATGACGTACCTTCACACGCACTTCTGTGTCAGATGCCATTTTGTCAGACCACCCCTCTGCTGCCATCTGTCAAGCAGAAACAACATGTAACGGAATACTGGTGAGAAGGTTCAGCCTACACTGCCTTACCATCACTGTCTGTTTCTGCTATCGTGGACCAGTATAATAAAACAGGAGGCATTACTTTCAGAGCATTCCACTTACGTGTATTTCTACTTATAAACTTGGTAGGTACAGAATGCAAAATAGGTGTTAGAAAACAGAAAGCAGATTAAGTATGCTCAACTTCAGTACTTTTAAAAAAAAATCATTTGGAATGATTTCATAGTTTGATGTACTCTTTCTGGCTATGGATCAAAGAATAATCAAAGTTTCTGTATAGAGCAGTACTGAGAAAAGGTGCCATCCATCTTGTCTTCATTTTCAAAGTCCTGAAATCTCTACCAAAACAAATTAGCTTGCACCTGAGATGAATAACTGTCAAATGTTTGATGCCAAAAGCAAATGTTCATTGGTTCTTCATGATAGAGAGATAACACGAAGACCTTTCAGACACATTCTAAATACCCTTGCATAACTTTTGCCTTAACTGTGGAAAAAAAATAGGCCAGCACACTTAAGAACCATCCTATTGCCAAAATAGCTCATTGGGTTAATAAAACTCATCAAATCATGAGTTAAATCTTTTTCACATATAAAGGCTTCTTGAACTGCAACACGTATTCCAGGATAAGGGATATTCACACATTTTTAACTTTTCATAAATACTGCAACACTTTGTTGCTCTAAAGTAAAATGAACAAGTTTCAGCCTTGAAATAGGTCAATGAATATCTAGTCAGTGAGGATCCAGCCACCAGGGAATTCTGCGTTATTTGGTGGCTGTATATTACTATTTACAAGCACAACTTTCATGCACCAGTAGCTTTGTGAAATGTTATGGCCTGCACTACATATCCAAGGTGTTTTCAGGTTTTCAAATCTGTGCATCTGCAAACTAATTATAAAGAAGGGAATGAAATGTGCTTGCTTACCTGCTTAGGTTCAGCAAACTGATTTCAGAGTTTTCAGAGACTTAACATCAGGACAAAAATTAAACACAGAACTTGTCCAAGAACCCACTGGGAGCTTTTCCACTAAGTGCGTTATATATGCTCCTTTGTTAATAGGTGGTGCTACTTAAAACCAATTCTTAAATTGCTGGAAATGATTCAGCAAGAAAAGAAGGTTCTGCTGGTTCTGAGACTCAGTCCTTAATACCCTTGAAAAAATGAGGGGAAATAAAGAGGAAATGAGTAGAACATCACATTGGCTGATGAATATCTTTTTTTTCCAGGCCTATTACCAAACTAGAAGTCAATACTCAAAAAATGGAGTCATTATCGTGCTAATCTAACTATAGTACATAGTTCCTTAATGTTACAGATATTCTAATGACACAGAACAAAGATGCAGGCTTTACAAATTTTAGGCAAAGTTTAATGCGAAAGTTTCTCACCAGGAGGACATCATGCAAGGAGGTTTCCAGCTCTGATTTGTTTGAAAGAAACCTGCTCAGCTCAGATTGTTCAGTTCTCCTCAGGGATATTATTGTGAGCTGTGACTAGGAACACTTAATCCTATTGGCAAAACTAAAGAAGTGATCAAAGGGATCGATTGAGCTTATCTAAAAGCCTTCCAAGTCCTCATCACCCCAAAGAAGTGCTGACTCCCTTCCTACCTCAGCTCGTGAACTCTGAAATGCAGAGGAGCCAATTTGTACGGCAGAAATCACACACCTCAGAGAGCGTCAGCCTTTGTATGAGGAGAGGAAGCAGTAAATTTCTAGAGAAGAAAGCTGAAGTAGATCTATGCAGAATTATTGGCTCTATGGCAAAAGCCTTGCAACCTGGATTCAATTAACTATGACAGACAGATAGATCTTTTTGCCCTCCATAAATTATGTGTTATCATGCAGCCACTTAACCGACGCTCTTGTTTTAACCAATCTCCATTAGAACTGAAGAACAGGGCAAATTTTTGCTCTCTTTCCTTTCTTGAACAGTTTATAACACTGCTTCCAGATTTTACCTTTTGGCTAACCATATACACATTTCACTATGTTTTCTACTCCATCTTGTCAAACTAAAAGTTAAGACTGACTCTGTCTTGCTTATAATTCACGATCCTAATAAAGAAAATATAAACAAGTTATTTTTATAAGTGTCTTTAGAAATATTTCACATTTATTTTTGGTTCGGGGAACCAACTACATTTTCTGAACAGGAAAAAAAAAAAGCTATTTTTAAGTTTCTCATGCATTAGAAATTTTCTTAATTCATGTACATTTGCTGGAGCAGATGCAGTACAACTTCTTCTTACCACAAATAAAAGAGCTCTCAAATGTCATCTTGGATATCTTTCCTGTTTTCAGGATATCTGCCCTCTGCATTGACATTCCTAATCACACAACAGTTTGAAGACCAACCATCCACCATGCAACAGTGAGCATCCTGTGTACCTAAGTTAAAAAAAAAAAAAAAAACAATAATAATAAAAATCACTTTCTATTATTTTAAAATCAAATCAATTACTTTAAAAAAAAAAACTGAATCCAAGTCAACCGTTACTATTTCCTACCACACTTGCCAAAGATATATCAAGCAAAAATTTTAAATTCTCACAGATGCCAAATATTTTGGCAGCTAGCCACCAGTTTCCTTATTTTTTCATAGCAGCCAGGGTTTTCTGGAGATAATCTATTAAATACAGAATTACTTTCAAATAACAGAAAGCCACGACTTCAACCATTTGAAGGAACAGAACTGACAACAGCAATGAAAGGAATCTCCAAAAGTCCACAGTGAAGCAAGAGTTTCCAGAGGTGGAGCAGTACTCCACAAAGCTGGATACTTCATAAATTCAGAATGAAAAGATGGTTCCCATCCACGGCTCAGATCTTTAGAAGTATTCAGTTTTCTGTATGATGGTTGTTTCCCTATCTATGAAAGGCTGAAAAAGAAATCAGCTATCTTGACATAGAGTCTCACCATGTTTTTTCCAATAGCAATGTCTGTTTTCCAATTGGCATAGTTCATGATTTCAGTACAAACACTGCATTTTAGGAGAACATCGAGTATCACTTTTTTTTCCCTACTTCTCTGATCGCCTATATATAGAAAAGAATAAAAATTGAGATCTGTGGCTGGAAACTGTTCCTTGTAAGCGGTTGTTATCTATGAGCAGCAGTGGGAAATGAGTAAAACAACAAAAGAGCACTTCTGATGAGAATTTTTTGTTACTTTATTGTGCAACAAGGTATGGCAGTAATAATGGGAAGGTTTGTTTTTTTACCTGCACTTAGTACACTTACCACCCCTTCATCTCACCTCACTTTCCACTGCCTTTTGCATTTAATATTTAAGAGCATTTTTCTTATATTTTATTCGTACTTTCTATTTCTTCTACTTTTATGACCTCTTCTTTAGCCTAGGCTAAAATTATTTATAAAACACTCTAAATAAAAACTGTAAGCACAGTAGCAAAAATTGTCTTTATTATTAACATGCAGCATGCTATAACTGAATTTACTGGCATCCCACCCATCTAGCTGTCAAGGTCTAGTCCAAAAGTCATTTGCTTCTGGCCCTCCTCGACAATCTCTTTTACTAGAAAAGTTGGACAGAAAAACAATTTTCATGGGTAGGTCCCTAAACTCTCTGAAGTAGCTGAATATTATCTCCAAGTCCCTGCAAAAACTCAGCTGCCCCATCCATCTGGGGAATCAGTGACTTAAAGGAAGATGAAGAGGGACTTTATCAAAGCCTTAGTCACTAGAACCCAGTTAGAATTTGGCATTTCATTTTATTTCACTGAGCTTTTAAGTTAAGGCAGAGAAAACTAAGGTGAGCAGAAGGAAAGCAAAGAAGTTAATATCTAGCTGTTTTCCTGTTAAGATAGAGCCTACATAGCTTTCTGATAGCTTTATGAAGAAAAGACGCTTAGGACATGAGATTGAAAAGGCATAATAGACTAATGGGAATTTAGTAGAAATTTGCTAGTACACATGCACCACTTCCTTACCATCTTGCCTTCTATTGGCTACAGGTGCTTGTCTCCTAGCTTTTCTACTCAGAATGGCTGCTTGAGAACACAATAAGTGGAGGATCAAGACAATCATAGTATTGTTTGTACTTCAAATCAGATTATCACATGGGAAAGGGAAAAAAAAAAAGGAGGCATTTGGGATCTGAAGGGCAAGAAATAATTTACATGTGCTATTTCTGCTGCATGTTCCTCCACTCTTTCTTTCTGTGACTATGTTGTAGCAGATTCTCAATCTACTAAATATTTTTAGACAGCAGCTACCTCTTAAACTGGCCGTTTAAAGCCTCTGTGACAGTGTTCAAAGTTCCTGGAAAGCGAGTTTGATGAAGACATGAAAAAGTTCTAATAAATGGGCTTGTTGTAGAGTTCACAAATGGAATACAGAACACTTTACCATTCATATCATTGCAAGTATTATTTTTACATGATAGTAATAAATGAAATCAAATCCTTTGAAATTACTTAAATTACAGAACAATCACTAGCCAAGTATTACATAAGTATAGTCAATGTTGTTTTTATCTTATGAAGGAGATTCACCATAAGAAATCCAAATGAAGATTAGCTTGGAGAGATGTGGATGGTTGCCATTCATTCAAAGGTTGTTCTTGCACTGTAAAAATTTTTTTCAAGATTTTTTTGCTTTTTTAATGATCTTGTATCTTTTATCAAAAGTAATATTGCATTCAAATAAATTCTTAGCAAATAAATGATAAATATTTTCTGTAGTATTATATTTCTAACAGGAAAACATTCTTAGTCAAAGGAAATAAGACTTACAGGAAGTCAGCTACATTTAAAACAATCTCTTTTGCTGTCTTGCACATAGAAGCCTTATTGGTTTGATTGGTAGGGAACAGAGGCGTTTTTTGTTTATGAACAAATGCAATAGGAACATGGAAAGGAGAACTACTTTTCTTTGTGTTTTGATGGCAATACTCAAATTTGGAATCTTATCCAGCTTCTGGGGCTGGAAAATTATATTGTTATGTAAAATAAACTCATAAACAGAATTGAAACTCTTTTTTTAAGTTGGCTTTCCACAACAGAAAGAAACACACTCTTTGGTACAGGAAAGCAAAACGAAAATTTCCTAGCCATTTTGTCACTGATAATGCTCTCCTGTAAAATAAATAAATAAATAAATATAAATAGGCAGTATTTATTCAGTAAATTGAAACTTGTAAATAAAAAACATCAACAATTCCCTTTTAGAAGCAGATATTGACAGCTAATAAGTATTTAACATCATACAAAGGAGAAGTGAAGCAGCAGCGATCAGATGAAATTGCAGTAAGAAAAAGAAAAATCGAAAGACAGAAAACACACAAAGTTAACATTCACTGTAATACTTTACAAACACATTGCAAGACTGAGAGCAAAAGAGCTTGTTTCAATATAAAACAAGCATCAATGTTTCAAGACTGATGATATCAAGTGCATTCTTCAGTAGCAATGGGATTTGTGTGTTTTTCCTAGTAAATGTGCCATTATTTTTGGTCCAAATTCTGGTCTTGTCAGCCCATTTTCACAACCATATGCTTTTTAAGACTTAGAGGTATTTTTCATGGAAAAAAAATATATATATTTCTCACAATATGAAATGATTCCCCAATCAAGGAATTTCTATGTTTAAGGTTGTGCTGCCATTCCTTCCCACTGCACCTTCAGAAATAAGGATGATCTCTTTGGTGGCTGGAGAGAAGAAGAAAAGATCATAGCAGAACTTCAAGAAAAAGCTCTGAACATTTTCTTCCCATCACAGTTTCTTCATCTGCTAATTTTTCTAGTCTGTTTATACTCACTGAACTTATCACAGATTTAAGCTCTCCTCACCTGGTTTCCCAAACAGCCAGTTAACACTACGAGCTCGCTGATGTTCTCCACAGAAACTGTTTTGCAAATAATATAAGCTCTGTTTTACCCTTCCCTCCATCTGACCTCATGCCTTCTCATAGGTTCCATTCTAAAACCACAGCAAATTACCTTTGTGCTGCCATCACTTGCACTGTATTAACCAGACAGAGGAATGGATCTTTTTGGCCAAAAATGTTTTTTTCTTCTTGACTGTTCAGAAGTAATGTTTGATTTGGGATTATCTTAATTTCTTTCTGTTAATGAGAAATCCAAACGATCAATTAGGGCAAAATTTTCTGCTGTAACGTGGGACCTCTGCTGATAAAAATTCTATGGCAAAACTAGATCCTCAATATACTAAAACTAATAGTCATAAAGACTTCCATTTTTCAGTCTTAATATCATACAAAGGAAGTAGAGCAATAAGGGACGATGTAAGTGAAATATAAAGATATGAGAGATAAGTTACCCTTTATCAACAAATAAATGCTCTAAAAATTATCTACTTTTTGCTAGATGTGGCATTAGATAAAGTCCTGAGTTGTTTTTTCTTTATCCTCATTGGCCTCAAATGAGATGTTACAGGTAGAACCACAATTTTTTTTTTTTTTTTTTCCCCAAACACAAACTGAATTTTCCTTCTACTACTCACGTACAAAAAGTAAATCTGGATAGTGAATTGAGTAAATTGTTTTCTTTCCAATCTAATGCATAATATTCTCTGAGGAACGTGAAAATCTCCATTGACTGTCATTACTGTCAAAGGATAAAACTACAACAATCAGATCCCAGGCTCTGTAGCCTACCGTTATCTTCTACTTCTATAGTGTTTTAAATGTAACACCCCTAAAGCACAATGGGAAGTCTAGTTTAATTATTCCTTTCAAAAAAGGAACCATTGGTTTGCTCCAACTTGTTTAACACACAACAAAGAATAAACCCGAGGCCATCCTCTCCAGGTTACTACAGCATGATACCAAACGTTTATACTGGATCATCAGCCTATCTAACTTTATCTTGTAGGCATGAAGCTAAATGAAATGTTTATATCTGTGGATAGCACACTTTGAACAATGAAAATACCAGATAATCATTCACCAAACTGATACTACATTAAAACTTTATAGTTACAAGCAAACTCACGCTGACAAGCACAGTCTAATAACATTCTGCAATTCATCATAATTAGGAGCTTGTGATACATACAATGTTCTTCTCTTTGTATACATATTCCCTTCAAAATTATTTGTTTTCCTTTTAAGATTCAGTTTCCTTTAGAGACCATTAGTCATTGTGTTCAGAAAAACAAAGTTGGGAACATAAACAGCAAAACATGTTAACTCTTCAGTTCTCAGTAGATCACACTAACAGAGCCTATCAAAGAAAATACAGCAATTAAAGTTGCATATTCTCCAAAGAAAAGGAAGGCTTAACTTTCTGTGTTATGAAGGGCTGATATTATCTTCTTAGTAAAGAAATAACGTAATTTGATAAATAAAAATTTGTAGACTATAAGAGAGACTGCACCTTATAAAGAGGTACTGGACATTTAGACCT